ATGTTTTTCTAGGTGTCCATTTACAGCGTGAAGAATTCCAAGTATAATAAGAAGGAAAATCGACATAGGTATATATATATGCCATCGGGTTTTCTATATTCTCCTGAAACCAAGCAGTCAAGGTTGTTATACGATTTTGATTACGGTTGGCGACATTCTGAAGATTCTCTTCATCTTGAAATGTAACATTATGACGTTCATCGAGGTGGACAGCAAGCCTCTGTACTTTTGGATCACGTCCATGCAATTTATAATGAAAAATTCTTCAGATAGATTCCGAAGCTGAAACATATTTTGCATCTAAATACATTTTTATTTCATCAATCTGGGCAACTTCAGGTGAAAGTTGTTGATTATCAGCTTGGTTGGAATGGGCAAATGTAATGGTTGCTCGATCATGCCCTTTGTATACGTATTTATATAGGTATTTAACAGCCGTTATAGAACTGCAAATTTCAACATTAATATGAGCATTGTATTTTGTGCATAATTTGATATTATGCGGTACAACCTATGTATTGTCTAATTGGATTCCATCTTTAACAAAACTTGCATTATTTCGTTTGCGGTAAATAGGGTATCCATTATTACTTTCCATGGTACGCTCTTGAAAAGTTTTAGAATAATGTTTTGTATACACACCGTCTTTCATACATGGTGCGTTAGGGTTTAGTAAACCACACGGACCATGTATCATCATGGTTGTTACTGTTTCATAGGCAAGAGGATGTATGCGAATGTCAGGGATTTCAGCCAAGACGATAGAGTCATAATTTTCTGTTGTTCATAACTTGTTATCTGAGGCAAGGATTATACGTATGGGGAAGACCACGTTTTTGGAATTCTACTACATATACGTATGCAATAACTTTACCAAGCCAATGGTTTTTACACAAATCTTTTAAAAGTGTTTGTAATTTTACATGAAACACCCGGGTTGTTAAATCGGGTCTATCAGTAGCGTTTTGATGAGATAACAATTCCCTGGTAACTTCTGGCCATTTAGGATTACATGTAAATGTGATAAAAAGATCTGGTTTTCCAAAGTGAGTGATAATTGCTATCGCATCCTGATATAACTGATACATTTGACGCGGTCCGCCTGTAAAAGAGGATGGAAGGATTATATGACGACCAACAGTGTTACTACAATCTCCAGCATGTACTGCGTCAATAATACTTTGATAAAATTCAGTGCGAAGTGATTTTTGATTATGCTTAAGGTAAATTAAACGATTTTGTTCTATTTTAGCATACTGATCAACAATATACTGT